ATAAATAACTTTTATTGAATTAAATTTACATAACATTAATATTAAATTTACATAATTAAACATATATAATATAAAGATAATTATAAAAATATATTTTGCAAATAAATACAATACTGCTGATTCTTCCAAACCTCAAAAAGTATCATTTTTAATTCATTACTTATTCATTCTTTTTATTTTTTTTATATATATGTAGTATTGGATAATAAATTCAATTATTACTTTTTATTACTTAAATAACAGTCCATTTGGGATTAACAAACTTACGGACCTGAGCTCACACATGAGACATATGCAAATCCAATAGCGAATAGCACGCACAGACAGATCATCGCACAGATCGCACGACTTGACGCTAAAGCTAAAAAAATCCAGCATTCTCACCAGACGCTAGCGTGGCTGTAAGAGGGATGACCCCTCGGTGCCACAACACATCTACTACTACTACACGGCAACGAAAAGTAAAGCCCGTATGAGACTACGTATTGAAGATTGAAGATTGAAGATTAAAGATTAAAATTTGACCAATCGAAACAAAACGAGTTAAAAGTTCTTTGTCCTGATTAGTCAAATTTCAATCTTTAATCTTCAATCTTAATCTTTAATGTGTAGTCTGATACGGGCATAAGAGCCATTCTACAATGAGTCACAAATGCTCCGTCTTACCAGGAATAACCAAAAATAACACTTTTAATTAGTAGTTGCTATCCTTCGCGCCACTTTTCGTTGCTATGTGACACTCGCTTAGCACATTTTTACCCAGGGAGAAATACAGGTCGAAGAAATGTCTATTAGATGTTTATTAAACGTTTCTTTGACCTGTATTTCTCCTTGAATATCCATACAACACAGAACATTGCAATTACATTGCAGCAATGTTACAATCTTGCAAGTTGCAATGTAATATTGTTGAGACATTATTGCAACCTGTAATTGTAATATTTCATGAGAATGTGACAGCAACATTCCAACAACATTGCAATAGCAATATTTGGTAATCGCTATTCGTTTGTTTACCGCTATGCGACGCGCGTTGCAAAATCTATCTCGTATTTAAGTTTTTGACATGATGATTATATGAAACTTGCAAAGAGTGGCTAGTAAGATTAAAGGCATAGTAATTATTTTTATCAGTTTAATTTTTCTGATACGACCTCAACACAGGAAATTCAGATATTGAACTGATTGTTCAAAAATCGGAAAGATAAATGTCCGAATAAATAAAAATATATGCAACATTATTCTAAGATTGCAATAACAATGCATTATTGCAAATTCATCACATTACAATATTACTGTAATATTTCGTTACAATCTTCCTACAAGCGGACATTTTAACGTTGCTGCAATCCCACAGCAATGATGCAACAACATTTTGCAGAGAATTTGCAATATTGCAACATTGCGATGAAAGATTGATGCAATGTGTATGTGCAATCTTTCTGTATGGATAGAGCATACATTTTACAGTCAAGCTACCGCGTGAAACGCGCGCTTATTTGTCAATTCTTTTTAATTAAATTCTCCATAATTATTGTGAAAATTGTAAAATGATAAAGAACTTTTCAGTTCAGTTTACAGTACTTTATCCGCTTACGAGCGTTGTCGTAGTTATTCTGAGACATCCTGTATAAATAAATTTCTTACTGATATGAAATTCATCAAATAATTTTAAATTATAGAGCATAAAGGTATTTTTTGAAATATAAACTTTACAATATTTATGATCATAATTATGGTAATCTAAGTAATTATATATAATAATTACTGGTAATCTATTATTGTTCTTGAAGAAAGCTAAGAAATTTTGGACATGATATATACTTACGAGTTTTACTCTTTACATTTAAGTGTTTTTGATGCACGAATACATCATATATAGTTCGGATTATCATCACGCAAATAGTAAGCATTAAAATAACACTGCAATCAAAAATTAATACTTATCATATATATATAGATATATATATACATACAT